ACAAATATTGCTAAGGAAAGAAAAGGATGCAGGGCTGTTGTTTGGGGTAGCCAATACTCACCCAAACGAAGCTCAGTCTCTCCGAGGTCGTGAATCCCAGCTACAATCTTCAATATAGCTCCTTAGCCATCTGTCCTCCATCAACAGCAGAGTCCCCAAGGCTCCTTTGCCTCTGAACCATGTGCTATTTTTTGCTTACTTGCCTATTGATTATCTCAACCAACAAGGGCAGGGAAGGGACTAGTGGGTTATTGGGTAATGCTGAGGATTTTTTTAACCAGTAAGCAAACCGCAAACTACAAGTCTCAGCAGCTGGAACATTGCACTCAAAATGATTGGTTTTGTTCTAAGCTTAGTACAAAATCAGTGTGTCTTGTTCTGCCTGAACTTGGAACAGTTCTTAGATCCAAGCTCACAACACTCGAAAGAACCATTTCAAGCTTTGAATGTTCCAACCTCAGCCTATTTTGGAGGCAGGGAAAAAATAGGCAAGGGGGCACTCCAAAGCCCCATATGGCCCCAGAATTTGAATAATGGGCTCACTTGTTGTTGTCTGCCAACTGTTATTTTTAATGCAACAGAAGAAAGAAATTATGAAATCCTGGGGAGAAACTGTTGAGCTCCCACACAGGCAAAGGTGATGCTTTTTTATTCTATTCCAATAAAGGCACATTGTAGTAATATCCAATAAAGGCATATAAGGCAGCTGATCGTAGCTGAGTGAGCAGAGTTTATATCAAGCTAGCTCTCAAACCATTCACACTCCGTTGCAGCTCTGAAGTCTTACAAAAGGAGTCTTGGATCTCCTTTCACCTCCAGTCCTCATCATTTCCACTGAAGACAGATGACTGTTTACGTTCTCTGCATTTCTGCTCCCCAGTAGATCAGTCACCCATGTGAGGTGGCAACTCCCAGCCACTGAACCCAACAATAAACATATCAATTGTATTTAATTACTGCAATATAATGATAATTGCATTTAATTTAAATCCAATTCTATTTTGTTTTTCTCCTGGTTTCTCCCAATTCTTTATCCTGGTCTCACCTGCTTTTGGGAGTATTTATTTAATTTCTGTAGCTGCCCATCTCAACCAAGTGACTCTGAGCAGTGAACAATTTTATAACAATAAAAATAATTAAAAACTATACAAAAATAAATATATACGGCAGCTGAGAAAATTATCATAATAGTTATCAGTATAGCCAGGAGACGGGGCCCTTAACATATTCAGGGGGCCAGGCCCAGGCACATAACCAGGTCTTTAAAGCCTTATGCAAGGCCAACGGGGTCGGGGCCAACCTCACCTCTGAAGGGAGGATGTTCCAAAGAGCAGCGGCTACGGCAGAGAAGGCACGTCTCCTGGTCCCTGCCAGCCAATACTCCTTGTCTGACGGGACCCGCAGCATGCCCAACCTATCAGACCAAATTGGACGGGTAGAAACTATTGAGAAAAGACAGTCCTGCAGGTAACCCAGCCCCAAGCCACACAGGGCGTTAAAGGTGACAAGCAGCACCTTGAATGGCACCCAGAAGCACACCAGCAACTGACGCGGCTCATACAGTAGTGGTGTTACATGTGTCATATATCCAACACCATTTACTACCTGTGCAGCTGCATTTGGTACCAACTGAAGTTTCCGAATGCTCTTCAAGGGCAGTCCCATGTAGAGTGCATTGCAGTAGTCCAAATGAGAGGTTACGAGGGCGTGGGTGACTGTGAACAAGGTCCCCCGGTCCCCGAATGGGCACAACTGGCATACCACCCGGAGGTGTGCAACGGCCCTCCTAGCCACGGCTGCCACCTGCTCTTCAAGCAGGAGCCATGAGCCCAGGAGAACCACGCCAGGAGTATGTCCCCTGGCGTGCCACTCACAGGCAGGTGTGGCCCTGGACCAGTGAAATTAGCATGGTCCAACAATAAGCTCTGCATCGCTATCAGTCAGGCCTCAGCTGGCAAGGCAGGACCTCAGGCCAACTCACAGGGATCCAAGAACTTCTGATACGTGATTCTTACTGCAGAAAAATCAGCAGCGTTTAAAATACACACTCTCCTTACAGAATCAGTTTTCACACTCTTTTGCACTTTTTTCTTTTGGCCACCTAGGAAAAGGACTACATGGCCCATGTTTTCAGGAAGAGGGAGGCCCTGTCTGCATCTATTCCTTGTTTAGAAAACAGGCCAATCTGTAATCCTATTGTTCCCCAGTGACTGTGTGAGAACCGACTCTCTCGCTTGAACGACCGGGAAGCTTATACAATGAAGCAAATAAGCTGCAGAAGAGCGCAGAGGGGCTGGGGGAGGGCCAGTGCCCAAAGGCTTGTGTGTGCTGTGACGGTCAGCCAAATGCCCTCTATTGTTGCATGGTCATTCCAGGAAGGGCCGCACTCTTTGCAGTCTCTCTGCAAAATGCCCTGCCCTCCTGTGAGCACTCAGGAAATGTATGCAAGAGAGAGAGAGAGAGAGAGAGAGAGAGAGAGAGGAAAAAGTGATCACCAAGTAAGAGCAGCCCTTCAGCCCTCAAAATGTGCCAGTGAATTTCCTATCTATTTTAAAAATAAAAAAATTAAAATGCTGAATGGGAAATCACCCCCTGAACTGGACAGGGAGGAGGAGTCTTCTGTTAATGCACCTGCAAATTTCTTTGTTCCTTCTTCTGCTTCCTCCAGATGCTCTAGAGCAGTGTTTCTTAAACCTTTTGCCCTCAGGACCCCTTCCTACTTTTAAAAATTATAGAGGACCCCAAGAAATATATGGGTTATATTAATCAATATTTACCGTACTAAAAATTAAAATTGACGCATTTGTAGAATATTTATTTATTGAATCATGCAAAAATAACAGTATTAAATCCATTAGATAGTAACATAAATAAAAAAGGCTATTTTTTTAACAAATAAAAAATAATAATGAGAAGAGTAACATTGTTTTAATTCTTTGCAAATATCTTCAATACCTGGCAAATAATTTTGGCTTCACGGACCCCCGAGAGGGTCCTTGGAACAGACTTCCAGAAACACTGCTCTAGAGAGATCACCCAGCAGGGCCCTCCCAGCCAGGAGGGTCTTACAAGAGGATGGGATGGGGGGGGGGTCCTATGGACTGTAGGTGTTTTGAAAGAGGGCGGGGTGGTGCTGCTATCTGCTCTGGGTTTGTATTCCTGTCCCTTTGTGGGGGTGGCAGGGCAAAGGGAAGCCAAGGTACCTTTGCTTACGGGCAGCCATGGCACGGCACGGCATGGGAACACTCTTTTCCCTACGTGGCAAATCTAGTCGGTCGCCATTCTTAAAGAGACACAGCGGGACCTACCTCAAGGAAACAAGCCTGAGGCGGTGAACCGTTTCTTTAGAGTTGAAGCCAATTCAAACACAAGAAAATATTTTACCGCTAGCAAAGTAATTAGGTTGCTCCCCAAATATACTGGCCTTTAAAATTAACAAATGTTCTGAAAAGGAGTAACAGTTCAAGCTAATCCTGGATACCGCGTCTGAGAAACCGGTGTTTCCTTCTCTTATTTTGATGCTAAACACCATCTTGTTACCGCTGCAAGGCTACTGGCAATATTAAATTATATTAAAACAGACATCTCCTTCTGAACCCCCGAGCTACCGGGTGAATGTTTAAGTGGCCCAAAGCCGTACTGCCCGGGGGCCCGGCCTCCCCGCCCACAAACGGGGCTGCTGGGGGGTTGGCCCAGTGGGGGGGAGGCTGCTGCTGCTGCTTCTCCCTGCGCATCCGAACGCAAGGCAGCCCCTGCCTTCGCAAGCGCAGGGCCAGCCTGGCGTGGCTGACGCTGGAGCCAGGGGGTTGCAGCATCTGACGGGAGCTCAAGGCTGCCGACAGCGCGAGGCGCGTCACACACAAGTGCTCCCTCCCTTCACAAGACACTGCAGATGTGTGGATGGGGAGAACTCAAGTCCGCGAATGTTACGACAGCCTCCTCTTGGCAGGCTGCTGAAAAAACGGTCCCCAAGTGTGCCACGGGCAAGCTTACTTTCTACCGATCATCTCAACATTTTTATTTAAAAAAATTTTAAAAAGAGCAACCTGAGAAATAACCAGGCCTGGTATCAGCATCTGGATGACAGGCCTTCCTGCCTGCCTGTTTCAGAATTGGACCCCAATTCTGGAAGTGCTCCAAGGGACTCAGCAAACACGGCTGCAGCCTCCACGGCAAGCCACGGTGACGTTCAAATGGCAAGATAACCTCGTTAGGCAAATGACCCAATTTGGGTCACGACACGTGACGTAAACACACCGATTGGGTCTTCTGCACTGCCACCTGTCACGGCCACAACCGGCCGCATCTTCCCGCCCCAGAACCCCTCTGACTATCCAACTTAAATGTTTCCAGAGAGGAGCCAGGGAGGCCTGGCCGACTCCTGCCTGGCATCTGATCCATTCAGGGTGGCGGTTTAGAAAGCGGAGCTGAAGGGCTCCCTCGACTCTGGCCTCGCCCGGATCGAGGGCCCGGCCTTCCAGGCGGCAGTTCCGCGAGCCTGCGGAGTCGCGCGCCTCTAAGGACTGCTCCTTAATCCAAATCACCTGGAAGACTGCGGCGGTGTGAGCTGAGATGTGAAAACCAGCTTGAAAAACTCTTATCCACTATGGATTGATAAGAAAAACCATCATTGACTGCAGAAGCAAGAACAACCTGAAACGGCTGCTGCATATGTTAGGCCTGCCTAACCTGGCAATGACACTACATTGTCCTTACTCTGTGAGCGAATCACCCCAGCGCCCCACCCCTCCTCTCCGGTCCCACCCCAAGCAAGCCCACTAGACATGAAAGGAACTCGTGCAAAAGCCCCTCCCGAGGCGGAGCTCCAGCTCTCCAGTCCTCCGCATTCATTTCAAACACTTTCACCGACACGTAAATGTAACTGCAGAGTGGATTCAGTTTATTTCACCACCAAAACACGCTGCCGATATGCATAATACAATCCACTTGTCACCACGGTTTACAAAAATACTATTGCATATATTTAAAAAGTGACATACCCTCTGCTTCCTCCAAATTCAACTGCTGGTGCATTTTTTTTCCAGCCTGAGCAAGAGAGTCTTCTCTTTTGGCTAAGAATGCATCTCTAGAGTTTTTCCCAGTTTCTCCTTTCGATTTAAAAGAGTTATGCCTCCCTGCGGTCCTTCCTTCGCCCTGGGGTTGAAGCAGAACGAGACAGCTCGTTACCCTTCCGCGGCAGCGACACGCAGCAGCCGGAGCCGTCCACGGGGCGGGGGCCGGTCCCATCCCGGAGGACCCCCGGCAGATCCCACCCCCCACCGGCCCCTCCCTCTGCCGCTTGCTCTGCCCCCGCCGAGTAGCCCTCGGGCCGCGGCACAGAAGCCGAGGGCGCCTTCCTAGAAGCTCGGTGCCCCAGGCCAAGCCCCGTTCCGCCGCCCGTGGGGGGCTGCTCGCCTCAAAAAGGCGCCTCTTCTTTCTCTTCTGCTGCGGGTGTTTGAGCCGTGCACTTACAATGTTCAACCCCAAACCACTTTTTCCCCCCGGACGTTTTCACTCTCTTTACAGGGCAAGTAATTTAATTACATCTGCACCCACTGTCGTACGGCAACCGTTCTGCGAAATTATATTTGACTCCTGAGCAGGCGGGCTGGCTCCTGGAGCGCGCCCGTGCCGCCTTCCGCTCTTTCACGGCGGTGCTCGGAGGTCTCCTTGACGTCGGCGGCCCCAGGCCGGGGCCCAGAGCTGGCCCTGCTCAGAGGTGTTTTCAGAGATCGTGTTGCTCAAAATGTAACAGTGGCATTTGGCAGAGCTTAACAGCATGTACGCTGAGTTTATTTTCAGTCCTTGGTATCCTCTGCAGATATTTCGTAAGGAATAACTGGACTCCTTGCCAAAGAAAGTCACTCGCATAGTTTTTCTCTTATTTTCCTCTGCCTGAAAGGAGGAGCGCATGACTTGGGGGTCGCCGGAGTCCAAAAGCAACAAGCGAGGCCAGGACAGTAGATCTGAATCCATTCTAATTACCCCTAAGCTAAAAGCAGAGATAATATTGTTCCTGGCCAGTATTGTCGGGGTGTTAATGTCAATCAAAGTTTACCTGCAGTCCGAGACCAAACACAAGATGATTCAATTGGGATAGTAAAAGGACTAAGACAATGGCAAGACCACCCTGGCACCCTTTTCAGCTGACCATTGCCAGCAAGAGGGAGGACCCGGGCGGCTTCCGGGAGCCCCGGCTGTTGGGAGAGCCAGGCAGCTCCTGGGAGTTTCTGAAGAGCGTCGCCCCAGAGAAGGGCGAGGCTCCCTGGCCACAGTGGCCGCTAGCACCGCTAGCAATTGGTCACGCTAGCTTTGGTCGCCACCGGTATTTTATGCCTCCCTGATTGACAAAAACAAGCTGGGTTTCCATAGGGGAGGCTTCTGTATCTGCCCTTGTTGCCCCAATAGGTAGGGCCCCCATTCAGGCCAGGCTACACAGTCCCCTACGAGGGGCACGAGAGTACCAAAGACCTATCTAGGGACAATCCCGGCCGGCCGGAGGGGGAAGGAATTGCTCTGGGAAAGGGTGGAAAGCGTTGGCTGTACCATTTTCGATATCTAGATCCCAAATCCTCCGTTTCAGTTCAGAGTTTTATCCTATAGACACGCAGCTGAGAACCGGACAGCACCATATCCAGAACTTCAGCTTCAAATGGTGCAACAGCTGCCGGGACATAATTATTTCCAGATTGTTCTGCAAATCAGCAATTGCAGGGGATGCTTTTTGGGCTCTCCCTAGCAGTGCTTTGGCTTGAATAGACCAGCAGGCGGAAGACTGAAAATAAACACCTAGATATTCAGAGGGTTTAACCTGCTTGATACGTTTGCTGTTAATCACCCATCTAACTGGGGCCTTGAAGCGTTTCCTAGGGGACATCGATACTTTTGCTTTAGAAGAGTTTATCACGAGCCGTTCTCTGGAGCAATACAGCGAGAGAGCTGTGGGGCATCTTCAGAGGCCTACTTGCGTTACGGGCAGCCTGGTGGCGTCATCAGCACAAAGGGGAATAGAGGTGGGGTGGAGGGCAAGGGAGGGAGGATGCATCTCTGGCTTAGCAAACATCTCCGCAGTATTGTTAATGTAAAGATGAAGCAATAGTGGGGCAAGGGTACAGCCTTGTTTAACTCTTTTGAAAGCAGAGACAGGTTCAGTTGGGTCGCCAGGGATATTAGCCTTAACTCAGATACTAGTGATGCAACAGCATTATCAACTTAGGAAGATGGTAGTTTATCACTGTAGTAGCTAAGTTCCTCCAGAGTCATTTTCATGGTATGGAGTCAAAGGCCACCCTCAAGCCTAAGAAGGCTACACAAAGGGCTCCTTTAGGTTGATAATAGTACTCAGCTAAATGATGTAGTATGATACCTTGGTCCATGGTTGAATGTCCAGACCTGAAGCCAGCTTACTCTGGCCCAAAATGTTCAGAGGACAGCCAGTCCAAGAGTTTATAATACAGGAATCTCACATATAATTTGTTAATTACAGATAGTAGTCTAATTGGCCAATAATTTACAGGCTCACAGTTGTCATCTTTTTATAAATTGGAATAATATAGTTAAGCCAATCTTCAGGGAGGCACAGAGAGTTGTTTATGGTTGAGAGGAGGGGCACAATGCCCACCATGCAGGTTTTAATTTTAAGAATTCTGGTAAGACTAAATTTTTACCAGGAGCTTTACTGTATTCCAACTGAGGGATTAATTTCCGGAATGTGAAACTGGGGCTGTTCAAGAAAAGAATGGGGGCCATTCAAACAGCTGGGCCGAAAATTCAATGTTTTCAGATGTGGTATATAAGCCATGAAAATGCCCAGCCCAAAACTCAAGGGGGATTAGGCTGTTATTGCTATCAAAGTTTACTTTGGATGAAGATCGAGAAACAAGATGCCAAAACAGGTAATCAACTTTGTTAGCTACAGTCCACTGGACTCTAGTCCAGGACTCCAGAGCATAACTTTGCTTTTTCTCCTTTAAAAGTTTCTTATAATCCCTTTTGCAGGGAGTAAAACATTTCATAAGAAGGAGAGTCATTATGGGTGCAGGCATTCTTGTAGGCAAGAATTACCTGTGCTTCAGTTGTGTTGCTTCTATTCATTGAACCAGGGTTTGGATCAGAAGTTAGATCGATGTAAGAAAAAAGGCTGAACAGGTTCTAAGAATTTTTGAGCAAAACTAACAATCCGCTGATATATTGAAATATTTAACATTTTCCCCTATCATCACATGAAAAATTACAATTTGGTAACAACTTTTGAAGGTCTCTGGTGGCTATGCCCAAAGTTTTGGGGGGAATGCCTGCAGCATGGGGCCTCAAATTCAAAGGAACAACTTTGGGAAAGTCCTAACTCTAAAAATGAGGGTAGCGGTTGTATTCATTATTTTTTCTGTCTTTATGCTGGCAATCAATGAACCCGTGAGGAAATACAGCAGGCTGTGTGGTTCACAGCAGCCTTCACCTACTACAATGCAAAGTTGCGTTAATCACACGTTAATCTTTCAGAGGATTACAATAAATGGATGCTTGCCTGACTGAGCGTAATTCAGAGGCATCTGTATTACAGACACTGACTCGGTCCCTCTTCTGAACAAACAGCTGAGCTTGATAACTGGCTTGACCTCTATGCAAGTCGAAAGTAGGAATTATGCTATGCAGCTAAAATCATTACTGGTTGTAAAATTTCCTCCAGTTTTGCTCCTAATATTTTGTTAAATTGCTCCTGAATACTACGTTTGATTTCTGCTATTGAAATGGAGCAATCCTAAATTGTTTTAATTGGGTGGTTGCAACCTGTTTTAGAAACCCTTTAATCCTTATTTAGAGAATGCCATTTTCAATTCTCAGCCTAACTTCAGGGACGGACCTTGCTCTCTGTAAAAATGGCTACAGGCAAATTCTTCCTTTCTCCTATCCAGCAGCCTCTTCTTCTTGTTTATCCAAATTGTAGGAAATTATAAACTCTGAGGTGTCATACAGCTTTGATTTACTATTCTGCCTTTCTGTGGTGAACGTTCAAGGGATGAAGAAGATGGGAAAAAGTCTACAGGCTCCAGTTAATGCTAGTACAGCCGTGTTCTTGGCTCAAAACACATCTGGGCACATACAGTGGTTGCCAGTATCAACTATCATTGACTCCCTGCTGAGTGAGATCCCACCTAGTCAATCCCTAGCGGTATAACAACGCTCCTAGGGAACCTTCAAGGAGGAGTTCCGCCACCCTTGAAGTGTGGTTGTCAACACTCCTGGGGGGAGCATTTTTGTCCCTGAGCTCTTGAGCAATGGTGGCAGGGTGACTCTGAGGAGAAGTCAGAGGACCATCTCCAGAGGTTTCATTTTGGAAGGCTAAATATCAGAAATGTCTTGGCCATAAATCCAGCAGGAAATATGCCCCTTATTATGCAGATTACTTATGAATAATATTTATGTGATGAATAAGCCAAAATTATACCTGCAATAGTCAAATCTGCAAGGTTATGATTATCATAACTTTGAATTACATACTTTACATGTGTTTTTGTATAACTTTCCTTTGAAAAGTTTTTTTTCCCCTTGAAAAAGAGGCCCATGGCAGAGGAGAGGGTGAGCAAAAGTCATTTATCACCTTTCCTGACCATAGTTTCTATCTTAAAGTTAACAGACAAAGATGAGCTAAAGCAAGAGGTGGCTCTTTCTCTTGCTCTGCCAGTGGCTCCATCATCCCCACCCACAATCAAGCATCTTCGACCTGGTCCTCAGCCCCTGAGGAAGCATGGGCTGCCAACAGGGCCAGTCCCACGACCCTGTTCAGCAGTGTTGAGGGAAGATCCCTCCCTCCACGCTGGCTCTGACCTTCCCAAGGTGGCAACTGGGGGCAATGCTACTGCTGTAGGGACAGAGGTCTTGGCCACAGCCCAGGCTGCGCACAAGGCCAGGAGCAGAAAAACAGCCACGAGAAAAGCATTATGCAGGCTCTTCCTCAGACATGGGGCCGGGGGCTCCTTACGCTGCTTTTCATGAAGAGAAACAGGGAAAGATGCAGACCGTTGTGTGGAATAGGTAGCTCGGCTCTTCTGGACAGGGCATCATATAACCAAATTATGTTCTACATGAAGGGTGAACTGGTGGAAATAACAGAAGATATGAGCCACGCTTACAAACATGAGAAAAACAAACACAAAGCAAATATGGGATTCTTTTCATCCACAATTTTTAACTTGGGAAGTAAAGTCAAAACTGAGGTATCACAGGAGTTTCAAATAATTTCAGAAAACTTACTGTGAGTGCTTGATTTCCTGCATTAGTAGTTACAGGTGCACTGTGTTTTAATGATGCTCCTTTCCCCTTGTCTGTGAACGATAGAAATTTAATTCTTTTTTCAAAACCCATTGTTCCTGTGAACACGCTTACATTCTAACAGTGAATGATCAAGACTGGGAGGAGAAGGTGGATGGATTCTAGAACTTTCTGGAAGACAGCCACCTACCCTTAGTGACAGTTTTATCAATTACTTGCCCTGGATCAGTTTGTATCAGTAGACTCCCTGGTTCAGGTATCCTAACGATGGTTAGGATGCTGAACTCGTGATTCATTGGGCTGCTAATTAACAGGGAAGTGCAGTCCTTGAGCTCCCAAGCAGAAAATGAACCACCCCTGTCAGGTTCCTTAAAGAAGCTATTGTGTATTGTCCTGGACTTCCATGGTAGCTGTGAAATCCCAAGAAAACATGCATCTGGGGTAAGGAGACCCTTGTAGGGTACACCAAGGTGCTCTGAAGGGATGCAAAGACTCCTTTTTCTGGGGCCCCACAGCTGCTATTCAAGCCTAGGAGAGGCCCCTCTTCTTCAGGAAGGTGCTGACTGGTGTGACAGGCATTCCATGCCTACTCTGAAGCGCCTTTCAATAGTTCTGGAAATCTTTAAACTCAGCCTAGGATCTGAGAGCTACTAAGCTCTACCCATGACACTGATCATGCCACAGGGCCCCATCAGAGATCTCTGTGAATTCTGGAACTCATAAATTTAGCCCACTAGCCAGATATGGAGGATGACACCAAGCATGCCATTAAAGGGAAAGGGGGGTTGACAATCTGATGTCAGTCACCACTTCTGCTTGCTGGTCTCACGGTGGGATCCCAGTAGTCAAGTCACTGGGGTTCCTGGTCTCAAGATGCTGATGGTAAATGCCAGGTCTGCATTAATAAGACAGCATCCATCCACAACCTCTCATCTGCATTACTGAAACCTGAGTGGGAATGTGGAGTTGGGTTAGAGGGACAGGGCAGGGAACCTGGTGGTGTACCAGTCGCCCTGCAGAATGGCAGGATCCTGTACGAGCTGCTTGACCTGATTTACGAGCTGTTAGTGTTAGGAGGTGGCTTCACTCTCAGTGCTCTGGAGGCTGGGTCAGGAAGGGCTTGGGAGTTCACGGCATTCCTGGACTTCTCCCACATAACCCTGGGTCCCACACATGAGGATGGACACACTTTAATCTCATTTTTGTCTCAGAGCAATTATGCAGTGATCTGAAGATGGGGGATATTTCAACTAGCCCTTTGCCGTGATCAGATCACTTCCTCGTCCAGATCTATTATGACTGCTGCCTGTGACCTCTGGGGCAAACAGACTGATTAGGATGGTCCATCCAGGAATCTCGTGGGTCTGGATCATTTCCAGCAGGCACTTGGGGAGATTCCTAGCAACCTTACAAACAATTCTGTTGAGCACTTGGTTGCCTGCTGGCATCAGGAAGTGACTTGGGCACTTAATTAAATTGCTCCTGCTCCTGAGTGGCCTCTCTGTGTGCTGATCCCAACTGGCCCTTGGTTTAACTGAGGAGTTCTGGGAAATGAAGCAACAGAAATGATGGTTAGCATACTGGTGGAGAAAAATGAGAAGGGAACCTGACCAACCACAGGTATGAGTTCAAGTTCAAGCCCATATCATAACAAAGCATCTTTACTTCTCTCTTACTGTGACAGGGTGATGTCGGCCAGAGGCCTTTAGCCTAGCCAGCTCTCTTTTGGGAAGGGGGCATCAGGCAGAATTCCCACCTAGCCACTGTGATCAATTTGCAGTTTTATGCCATGAAGTTGTTTATATTCGCCTATCTCTTGACCCTTCATGGGTGGAATCTGATGTGGCAATGGGAGCAGTGTTTCACCTTGTAACCTGGGATTCATTTTGGCTTGTGAACTCTAAGTCAGTGGATAGATACTGTCCTGTATGTCCTTGGCCACCTGCCCCTTTGGGGTGTCAGAGGGATGTGAAAGGCTGGTTCCAGGAGATTATCAATGCCTCACTTTGGAAAGGAGTATTGACTATAGCTTTAAAAAAGGCTGTGGTGTGCCCCTTCTTAAGAGGACTTCTCTGGACCCAGTCATTTTTGAGGCTACTGTTCTGTCTCTCACTTTTCTTTGTGGGGGAAGATCCTTTTCAATCAGGGTTCAGATCTGGGCATAGGACTGAGACAGCACTGTTCCTCTTGTGGATGACCTTTATCAGCACCTAGATGGAGACAGTGTGCCCCTCCTGGTCCTTTCTGACCTCTCAGCACCCTTTGATACCATCATCCATGGTATCCTTCTAGAACTCCTGAGAGGGTTGGGGAGTAGAAGCACGATTTCTCAGTGATTTCTCTTCTTCCCCAGTGAGTGGTTCCAGTTGGCCAGCCAGTCAACCTTTGTGCAGGGCCACAGGGTTTGGTGCTCTCTCCTCTGCCTTTATTATCTACATGTAGTTGCTAGGAGAACTCGTCTATCAGTTTCGGGTGTGATATCATCAGTATACTGATGTAACCAAACTATACATTGGCAACCTGGGTCAGACAGAAGATACTGTCAATATCTTGTCCCAGTGGGCGGAAGCTGTTCAAACATGGATGGGACAGAGTAGGCTAAACATGCAGCCCAGCAAGATGGAGTCCTTGTTAACCCACTGAGATGCCTTGGCTGCTCCAGTGTTGTCTGTTGATGGGGTGGCACTGCCTTTGAAGGAGCAAGTCCATGACCTGGGAGTCCTCCAGGACTCACAGCTACTTAATGGGCAGATGGAGGCCATGGCCAGGGGCCTTTGCCTACCTCTGGTTGATGCACCTTCCTAGAGCAGGAGGACCTCTTAACAGTAATCTATACCCTCATTACCATCCATCTAGACTACTATAATGTGCTCTACATGAAGCCACCTCTGAAGATTACTTAGGAGCTTTAATTAGTCTAGAATGCAGTGACCCTTTATTAGCCTGTACTCATCCCCAAGAACATATTTCACCTATGCTCTGGGCCCTGTCCTAGCATCCAGTTAGCTTCTGAGTGCAAGTCAAAGGGCTTGTCATCAACTATATAGCCCAACATGTCAGAATTTCCTTCTCCAGAGGGAATCAACCCACCTGACTCTGCGTCCTCAGGAAAACTTCTGATGATCCCCCGTTTCTGTGATAAGGACAGAGGCTAACGCTCTACTGTTTGGTAGCTGCTCTGTGGAACAGCTGCCTCCTAGAAACTTCTGAAAACCAAATTATTCCAAAGGGAGTGGTTTGGATACATCCGGTTATAATCCTCATGGTGTCATTAAGTCTGGCATTGATCTTACTAGTATGGCAACTGTTAAGCCATACAGGGGCGCAGTATTCTGCCATGGGGTAGACCAGCCCTAGTGCTGATGTCCTAAGGGTGGCAGCTGAAGCTCCCCATTTTGTTCCACCTAATTTCTGGAGTATGTTGTTCCTAGTATTAATTTTTGTGGCCATGTTCTCTAGATGTATCTTATAAGAAAGAGTCCAATCCAAAGTTACCCCGAGGTATTTTGGATAAGGGTTGTAGGGAAGTACGCTGTTATTCAGGTAAAACTTTGGGGCTTTATTTGCTAGTTTATTATTAAGATAGAAACATGTAGTCACTGTTTCAATACCACTAGGAGTAAGCCTCCAATCAGTAAAAAATTTTCCCAGGAAAGGTACCAGGTTTTGATCTATCTCGCCAGCGAGGGACGACCCTGAACAGGATTCGCACCTTACACGGCGTCTGCCAGGATTCACTGCATAAATGGGGTATGGCATTGTCACCTCAGTGTAACTGTGGGGCTGCATGTCAAACTACAGGTCACACTGTGACCAGCTGTAAGCTGAGGGCATATAATGGCCCAATATCTGATTTTTTTTATATAAATGATGCTGCGC